TCCTGCTGCTTTGTGGCACTTCAGCTTGTTCACACACGCCTCAACCTCGTCCTCAGTGAACTCCTTTTCTAGTTCTACGTTCCCAACGTCTGCCTTCGATGTCTGGGTAGGGGGGGGGCGACAATTTGATGTTGCGGCTACTATTAACATTCTCTGACAGAAGAAAATCGGTCGGATGTCTCTTACTGAGCAGCACCTTAACAAGTAGTTCCCATGTGTTCCGAAGTCTGAAGCTGGCCTGCAGACCAACCCCGCGGGTGAGCAAGCGCATGCCCTCTTCTACAGTCACCCCATAGGGCCACGACCAAAAAGCTCAGCAGTCCCCCGCTTGGCCGAGAACGTTCAGCAACTCAGATGCAACGCCAACCAATGCATGTTCTCGTCCCGAAAACGATAACAACTTGTATGGCGGCCACATACCGACAACGCCTTCAGCCGCCGCTCCAACCACCTCCCGCTGGAGGTGTTGTAGCTTTCATCCAAACAAAATCGAAAGCGACACAGAGGCCGCCTCTGTATCAACAGCCACACAGCCACCCCCCAACGACCACCACTCACCCAGCTCGATTGGCCCGGTTCCCCCCGCCCCCGCCCCCGAACAATGCAGATATCGAGGTGAGGGGGGCTGCGGGGCGACGCCTCCCTGCCGTGCTCCCGCCGCCGCCGCCGCCGGTGGTGGTGGTGGTAATCTTGTTGCTTTTCGGTTTTCGCCTGCTCCCGCTCGGTTCCGCCGCGTCTTGAAGGTGCACGGCGGCCTCGAGGAAAGGGTCGTCGTCCCACGAAGGCGAGGAAAGGTCGATAACGCCGGCAGGAGAAGACCAGGGGGCAGCAGGAGTGGAGACGGTGGCAGTGTCGCGGCTGCTGCTGCTGCTGCTGCTGCTGCTGCTGCTGCTACGGCCTTCTCCTCCGAACCCTGCTGCTGTTGGTTTTGTGGTGTTGTTGCACGTCGCCAGTCGAGTAAGGAAAGAGAAGAATAGAAGAGACAGCGACAGTAAGAAAAACAGCGAGAGTCGCGTGGAGAGGGGAAGAGTGCGTGACAATATTGCGCGAATCAAAGACAAACATATGCTGTTCAACCCTCTTATCCTTGCCATTGTTAATTGCGATAAACGATGCTGTCTCTCTCTCTCTCTCTATCTGGCTCTCGTATCTCCTCAGCCGCTCAAATCGGATTTCAAGGCTCGGGTATCGGTTCGGATTTCACTTGAGCCACGTACATTTCTTGGTTGTTCTTAGCGTAATGTGGTTGTCGAGCCTTTCTCACACCTCTATCATAGGGCGTGGAGCCTACATGTATAGGGGGTGGAGCCAGGTTGGCATGGTCGGTGACAAAAACTCAGCTTATATTAGGATACTCACTGACCCGCGGGTTTGTTCGTGGTGCAAAGGGTAGCTCCTTCCGATTCGCGTTGAGGCATGAAGTAGGTAGATGTGATGCCTACTAACCTGCTGGCACGATGTACTGCGATTTGCTTTTCTCATTCCGTCTTTGTGCGAAGTAGAGCCTCGGGCTATAAGACGACTACTGCAGTAGTAGCTGCTGTGGGTGTTTTTACCACCAAGGACTCCTACAACTCACGGGCTTCTTGGCGCAAGAGCTCCTAGTGATTCACTCGTAATTGCGGCATGCAATAGGTAGATGCGACGCCTGTTATCCTGCTGCTGATAATTCCTGCGCCTCACGTGGCATGTTTGCTTCTTCCGGCTTTATGCAAACTGTAGCCTCGGTCTCTTAGGCTACTGCTCCTTGTACATCCGTGGGTTCTTGCTTCCCCGTGGGGGTGTTGGAAGTGCCCATTCTGTAGACTATGCAGATTGGAGCTCTAGCTAGGGATGTTGGGCCACGCACAAAAAAGCTCTTGCTTGATAGCGAATAAGGGGCATTTTCTAGGGTGCATTCGTGCACTGTTTCGTTGATCCACTTGTTACAAACGGAAGCTGGTTGTGCTGCATGCACGTGCCAGCAGGAGGCGCTGGACAAAGCAAGGGGATGGTTGCAATGCCCGAATGGAGATTTTCCCATCAACATAAACCTCAAAAATGCGACGCTCGAGGAACGGCGACATATTTCGTCGAAGCTCCCCAAGGAAACGCCCCTGTTACTTAACATCCGGCCTCCAAAGCTGTGGTACTAGCAGAGAGAGGGCGGGCGCCGAGTGCTCGCAACAGCCGCTTTCAACCAAGTTTGCCTTGCACCCCACCTTCGACAATGCATTCGTCCCTACGATGTATTTCCAAGTATTAGTCTAGTCTACCGCTCTGCAGAGTGCAAGCAAAGCAGCAGTGTATGGTTCTGTACACCGAGTACTTGGGCCGATTCGTTTGGGGTGTGGCGTTACGAGATACGAGCAAGTGTTCTCCACCGCATCCCGATCGGAACTGTGCGTGTGTGCAGCCATCGCGTGTGGCACACACACACCATATGCCCTATGGTACAACGCGTACTTTTATGCCGTTGAGAAATTGAGGATCTTTGCACTTTGGCACACCGGGAGAGCGGCTACATGAGGTGACAATGGCGGGCGCTCGCTATTTAGGTCCCGGCGATTTAGAGCCTGTCCAGAGCCAAAGACAACTACGGGATTACGCGCTAGGGTAACGCACTCTCACCTCTCTTGACAGACTTGCCGCTCTTTCTTGCTGCGCCAAGCGGCGGTCCCTTGCTATCGAGGGCCATGAATGCAACAGATTCCCCTGTTCGCCGCTTTGGCTTTGCTTCGCGCCAAAAAAAGCAGGGTACTCGTCGGTACCGATTTTTTTGGCGGTACCAATTTTGGCGGTACTGCAATACGGCGGGAATTTTTAGGCGGGAAGCGGTTTTCGTTTTTTTGGCGGGACCACTTTTGGCGGTTCCCGGTACCGCATTTTTTGGCGGTACTCTCGTCGGCGGTTCGCAGTTTGGCGGGAACGCCTTCGGCGGTTCCCGGTACCGCATTTTTTGGCGGTACTCTCGTCGGCGGTTCGCAGTATGGCGGGACCGCCTTCGGCGGTTTACAATGTGGCGGTACTGCCTCCGGCGGTTCCCGGTTTTACGAAATTCGGCGGTACTGGGTAAGCTTACCACGCCGTCGCCGGAAATGGCGGTACTTTCGTACTTTCGGCCCTTACGTCTATATTTGCACTATATCCTGCTATTGTTGTATATTGTATACTTGTATATATGTATATATGCACATTTTTGTGGCGGCTGAACGAGCGGCAAGCCGTTTCTCTGTCGTCTCTCTTCTCTTAAAAAAGCAGCAACAGAACGGAAAAAACAAAAAATAAAAAATGAAAAACAAAAAACAAGAAAAAAGAAAAAAGAAAAAAGGCTGGAAAAGAAAAGAGAAAAGAAGACAGAAAAAAAAACAGGCGGTGTGAGGATCGAACTCTAGTCCATTGGGTGTATACTGTACTGCTGTATACGTTTGGAAAGCCCTAGTGGTACATAACCCCAGGCGGAATTAGCGTACGGCGGTACCATTTAGGCGGTACTGCACTATGCCGGTACCATTTTGGCGGTACTGCAATATGCCGGTACCATTTTGGCGGTACTGCAATATGCCGGTACTTTTTTGGCGGTACTGCAATATGCCGGTTTTTTTTAGGCGGTCCCGGGAACGCGAGATTTCGCCGGTATTTTTTTGGCGGTACTGCAATACGGCGGGAATTTTTAGGCGGGAAGCGGTTTTCGTTTTTTTGGCGGTACCAATTTTGGCGGTTCCCGGTACCGCGAATTTTGGCGGTACTTCCCGCCAGTACCGGGACCGCCCAAATTCCCGCCTAAATGACGTCGGGAATATTCCCGACGAGTACCCTGAAAAAAAGCCACGGCAGCTGAGGTCTGTCTGCCTCAGCCGCACCCTTGGGCTTTACAATTTTTCGATTCTGGAGAAAACCTTAAGGGATCGATCACCGTAAGCCCAGTCCGCACTGCTTACTATTTCATCCGACACCTCGCGTTGCCCGGAGATCACTGCTGTGCAGTGCGGTGGTCTGTCCCCTCGACACCGTCGCGGGGGGGACCTCACCTGGGAATAATTCATTGTATATCACCAAATACCAGTTGTGTCTCCCCTCGTCGCGTACCCACGTGGAGAATTAAGTTTCTGTCACTCGCCGGCACAGCACAGCGCAGCCAACCCCCTGTTCCTGAATACGAGCTCCTTCTCAGGTGAGTGATTTTTTGTGCTTCTCTCTTCCAGGCACCTTACCAGCGATGGCTGGTTCGATGACGCCTGCTGTGGGTCGGCAGCAGCTGCTGTCAGCAACCATCTGCATCATCCCTCCTCTCTGCCGCCCGCCTTCTGCGCGTCTCGCACGGCAGCAACTATGCAGACACCACCACAAGCCCCCCCTGTCACAATAACAACCCCCCCCCTTCTCCCATTCTCCGCGCCTGGTGTCCTGTACATCTCCTCGCTTCGATGATTGTTCATGTTGCGGTATGCTTCTAGAAATGTTGCATCCTAGGCAAAAGCGCGTCCTTTTGGATGTCGGGCCGCATGAACCGAGTACGCCGCAATGCTTCAACCTATTTTACCCCTGTCGTGAGGGCTCAAGTTGCGTCGGCAGTAGGTGCTTGGTACGAGACGGCCAGGCAGTAGAGGAGTGCACTGCGGTGTGGGCAGTGAACTGTAGAAACTCGTGCTAGTTTAATTGTGTTCAACCTATCCAGCAGTGAGACCACGAGCGCACCGTCCGGCCGTTTCCGCATCACCTTCTGTGCCGGCACACAAGGCGAACAACTGGAAGCACCGCGTGCAACCATGCCCCCTCTCGTTCCACACGTGTATTGAACACTTCTCAGCGTCACATAGAAGCTCTCACTCCACACATGTATTGTACAGTGGCGAGGACAACGTCCAGAGGCACAAGATACATATCCGTTTCACAGCAGTTGGGTCACAGGCTAAATACTAAATACAAGGGTACTGCTGTGTTTTCTTGCCGCCAAGTCGTTTCCAACCTTCATCTTTTTGGGTCTAGCTCTCAACTCCAGAATACGAAGTATTTCTTGTTGCGGCAAAAAGTAATGGGAAGAGAGAGGCACAGAAGCACAGCAGAAGAGACGAGTGTACTTCTGTAGGCGCAACAGCTATCTCCACCAATAGGCCATGAGGGCTGCCCGCGACAGGACGGTGGACACAGGGTCATTGAAGGGTTGATGCGTGGTCGCGGTGCGGCCAGTAGCGCAGTTTAGGCTTGCAGACCTCGAAAAGGTCAGTCGCCAAGCCGCCTGAACAAGCCTCTCTATTTTCAGTATATTCAAATGATCAGTGAAAATGATCAGTGAGAGGGCTTGTAGACCCATACTGTAGCTGGTTCTTGTACTTCTGTACTTCTCTGTCCCCTCCCCAATGTGAGCCCTGCCGGCTCAATACAGCTCCTGTGATTTTCCCACAATTCCCACAAGTACCCAAGCACACCAGCACACACCAACCTTTGCATCAGTGGCCCTCTAGGTTCGGGCGAAGGCATGTGTGGGGCTGTGATAATAGTGTATGTGTCACCACAGCACTGCTGTATGTTGGACTCGCCTGTACTGCTGCTGCTGTGTAGTATATGCATACGTAGCTGCTCACATGATGACTGCTGGATCTTGGGAGTGTACGATTTTCAAATTTGGAGGATAGGCAGCATTCACCACGATATCCCGGCCTGGTTGGGCTTGAAGTGCCCCATTTCGCTGTCCTCCCGTCTTGCTGAAGTGGCTTCCTAGATTCGGGCGAGGGCATGTGTGTGGAGCTTTTGATGTGTGCCTCTGTGAAAGGATACGGGGAGAGATTCATAGGGTGGCATTCACATTTAGAGCCGTGTGCATTTCTCGAATTTCGGCCGCTCCAGGGACCTTGATATTATTACCCTCTGGCACTATCGTCCTTCATTGGTCACCGGGTAGCGCGGTCGATAAAGACACACCTACCTATTGACTTGCCAACACCTGGCGTGGTGGGATACAGGGCGGCAACTCTATGGCATGCCACAACACCATCATTTGCAAGTGATCAATCAATGATCATTCAGGACGCCTGTAGACCCAAAAGGGTTAAGCTTGACAACCGTATTGCACGACGAGTCTCGGCTTCTGCACGTCACCCACATGCACTCCGTTTCGGCCCAACAGCTCGAAAGCAGTCGGAGAATTATCAATCCCAGTGTTAGGAACACCCTGGCAATCACAGCCGCGCCTTGGCGACCATTTGTGCACAGGCAGTATACTAACTAGAGACGGGGTGGCTTATGGGGTCAGTGGGGTCGAAACGTTATTTTGGGTTGAGGCTGTGTGAACGACCGAACGGAAAGAGATACACGTGCATCGATCCTGCGTGGGTCTGCGCTCCAAGCTCTCGAAACCCCGCTTGTCTTCTCGCCGAACTGCAGCACCTTCGGGATGAAGGGCGGCGTGAAATTGTAGACAACCACCACAGTTGACGCCTTGCATCTTCTCTTGAGAGGAGAGATGGAGAAAGAGATCTGAACACCCCACCGATCCAACACCGCACAACCATGACCTTTTGTGCGTGTAGCGGCGCGATCATGTCTGTGAGGTGGGAAATTCATCGAAACCTTCGTGCATACGAGGTGTGTTGAGGAATCGAGCGGGTAGCTGTGACCTGGTCACAACAGTGGTTGAGAACGTACTCCCGTGATGTGATGCTAGCTCCACACGCACCACAGCACCGAAGGATCATGGTGGTGCGGGAAGGGCGGGAAGGGCGGGCAGAACGTTTTTCTCCGAAGGGAGCGAAGAGAATTCCCTTGCTCCCCTCTATCTTCCCCCCACCCCTGGTGTTTACCATCGGGGTTGGGTTTTCGTCGCTTGGCAACGACGTTGTAAAACAAGCCGCCCCCCCCCGGTGTTTGCCATCGGGAGTGGGTTTTCGTCGCGTGGCAAGGACGTTGTAAAACAAGCCAATTCACTTCGTGAACTCGGCAACCAGGTTACCGTTTTTTTTTTTTTTTCCTCCTTTTTTTTTTTTTGGCGGTAACCATAATGGTGGTCGAGTAGATCATGTTGTGCGGGGTGGAGAACCCGCTCCGCGCAAGGGGGATGATCGCACCACGTTGTGTTAAAATGGTCAAGCACCCTCGAGGCAGTTACACAGTGCTTACAACTGTCTCTGGAAGTGAAAGCACCAGAAAATAAATT